TCCTAATTGAATTGCTCACAAATTATATGATCTTTAATAATTTATATACTCCTAGAATAATTTATGATAAAATGAATAATCTTGAAAATAAATACGTGTTCATGAACTTGAATAATTTATTTACTCCTAAAATAATTGAATAACTCACAAAACATGTGTACATGAACTTGATTACTTAATGTTATATTTAATATATCCATAAATAAATATTAATTAGTATATATGTACACACCTAAATAATTGAATTGTAGTATTTTTAGAGTAATTGAATAGCCCTCATAATATATAAAGTGTACGTACATGAACTTGAAGAATTAATTGATTGAATTATAGTAAGATATATATAAATTAATGTTAATTATTATCATATACGTAAATAAATAATTGAATTGTATAAAAATTTCATTTCACATAAACAATTTTTTATATTTACTAATTTTCAATATAATTTTTACGGTGTTTATAAAATATTTTGAAATAACGTGCTAACGCATGTTTAATTGTGACCAGTAAATGCAAACGTCCTTTCTTTTCTTTTAAGTTTTAACTCCATCTTTATTTATTTCTTTCTTTTTAGTATTCATCTCAAGTATCCCACATACACCATTTTCCTTCAGTTCTTTTCGTCTGCAGATCATTTAAATCCATTCTTGATACAGATTACTCATCTTATTCATTTGTTTTTGTTCGAATTCTTTTCTTTACTATTTATGGGTCATTTTCTTGATTCTATCAGTAATAAATTTCGTGATTAACAAGATAATTCTCAATTTTCTTCAGCTTTCCGTGTGTGAAGTTGATACCTTTTAGATCTATTATTTGAGTAATCTGTTGCTATTGGCTCACATTCTAGCAGTTATGGCTCACTTGGTGTATTCCGATTCAATGGGTGGATCACAGCATGGTCAAGGTGTGGAAAATTTTCCATCCAAGACAGGGTCCCTAAAAATCTTGTTGTTACATGGGAATTTGGATATTTGGGTGAAGGAAGCAAAGAATCTCCCAAACATGGATTTATTCCACAAAAGGCTAGGTGATATGTTTGGTAAATTTGGTACTAAAATGGAAGGGAACATGTCTAGTAAGATAACTAGTGATCCATATGTCACAATCGCAGTCTCCAACGCGGTAATTGGTAGAACTTTTGTGATTAGTAACACTGAGAACTTTGTTTGGGCGCAGCACTTTTATGTTCCAGTTGCACATTATGCTGCAGAAGTTCAGTTTGTGGTGAAAGATAGTGATGTTGTAGGCTCTCAGACTATGGGAGCTGTTGGGATCCCACTAGAACAGATATTGTCAGGGGAAAGAGTTCGAGGGGGGTACTTATCCAATACTCAATGCGAACGGGAAACCATGCAAGGGCGGGGCTGTCTTGATTCTATCAATTCAGTACATACCAGTGGAGAAATTGTACCTTTATCATGGTGGGGTGGGACCCGATCTTTCGTATCAGGGTGTCCCTGGTACTTATTTTCCTCTAAGGCGAGGAGGGAATGTGACGCTTTATCAAGATGCTCGTGCCCGATGGTTCATTACCAAATTTGTGGTTGGCTAATGGTAGGCTGTATCAGCACGGACAGTGTTGGGGGGATATCTATGACGCAATAAATCAGGCTCGACGTTTGGTTTATATTACCGGGTGGTCTGTTTACCATCTAGTTCAACTTGTTAGGGACTATCCGAATGCAACAGATAGCAGGTTAGGCAGGCTACTGAAAGTCAAATCACAAGAAGGTGTGAGAGTGCTGCTCCTTGTATGGCATGATCCTACTTCTAGGAGCATTCTCGGGTACAAAACTGTAAGAACCAACTCTTTAGTGTTTTCAATTTTCAATTGCAGTAGAACTTGAATCAGTATAGTCTTTTCAAAAGAAATTTTATCTATATCTCTTGGTAGATACAATTATCTCTGAGCTTTTTGATCTCAAATAAGGCTTTGCATTGTTATGCACTGAGGCTACACGATGTTATAGTATGAGAAAAATGGCACCTGATGAGAATGAAGGATAAGTTACCTCTGATTCGGATGCAGACTGATATGAATCTATGAAGGTTTATCAAATAATGAGTACTTCATTATCACCATGAATCTCTTTGTGAAGTACAGAAAATTAAAACTTTTTTTGACTTATTGAAAGTCCACGCCTGGCATAAATAACCACACANTCCAACTAACACAAAACAGCTTCTTCTGCTTTCCCTACTTTTTTATTTTTGTTTTTTGGTTTTTTTTTTTTTTCCCTTTTTTTTTTTTTGCATCTGATGGTCATGTGTAACTTACTATAACATTCTCGTCAGTGCAAGTGCTGCTGTGCCCTCGAACTGCTGGGAAAGGTAGCTGGGTCAAAAAGCAGGTTGGTTTCTTATAATCTTCTCAAAGGGATTGTCCAGATACTAGTAGATATTATAACAAACGAAATTTTAGCTTCTTTTTCTTTCTTAATACTATCTAATCTTGATTTTTCGTTCTGTCTACAGGAAACTAGTACAATCTACACTCATTATCAGAAGAGTGTGATAGTCAATGCTGATGCTGGTAATTACAGGAGAAAGATCATAGCATTTGTTGGAGGCCTCGATTTATGCAAGGGAAGATATGTTGCACCAAAACATCCAATTTTCAGCACATTACAAACTGTTCACAAGGATGACTATCATAATCATAATTTTACAGTAATTTTCTGAAAAACTTTATGATATTTATCTTGCCTATGATCTGTTTACTTTTATCTTCTACTAGTTTTGCTTATTCGTGTATGTTTTAACTGAAAAGGAACCTGCTGTTGATTGTCCAAGAGAGCCATGGCACGATTTACACTATCAAATCGTTGGTCCAGCTGCATATGACGTCTTAACTAATTTTGAGGAGCGTT